CTCCATCAGGAAATGTCCTATTATCGGTAATAGTCACATCAGTGGTAGTAACTTCATCAAGGGTTTCACTGTTTTTCTTCTCAAAACCGTGTAGAGTTTCTTCTTCGACAATGGCTTTTCTAGGTGACACATCTTCAGCGGCGTCTTTTGTTCCGTTGTTCACTTCATTCCAACTGAAATGTCCTGGACTGTGATAATGCCAAAGCCTGTTGGCATGCACCACCTTTGGCTTACCTTGCCGACCACATTTTATTCCGAAAGTCACGTCTGAGAGGCGATCCACTATGTCATATGGGCTTTCCCTTGGAGAAGACTTCTCTTTGGTCTTCCTGGGATTATACAATCACACCTTGTCTCCTGGTACAGAGCTGACTTCAGTAGATCTCTTATCATAACATAGCTTCATGGAATCAGCAGACGGTTTTAAATTTGAATGCACTTGATGGTGAATATCATCTATCCTTTCCGATAACACTTTCACAAACTGAAACATTTTCGGGCAACTCTTCGTAAGGTGGGCCTCCTGTTAACAGATCCACTGGCAACTGAAGTTCCTGTCCAAACATCAGCTTTGCTGGAGTGTATTCAGTGGCTTCATGCTCTGCTGTTCTATAGGCCATCAACAGCAGATGGAGTAGGACATCCCAGTCATCTTGGCGACTATTATAAAACTTTGCCAATTCCTGTCCCAGTGTCCAATTGTACTTTTCTACCATCCCATCAGGCTGTGGGTGAAGTGGCTTTGTCCTGGTCTTTCGTATGCCAAACAACTTGTAGCATTCATGGAACACAGCTGATTCAAAGTTGCGGTCTTGATCTGAATGCAGTTTGTATGGCATACCATTACCATTTTTGTTCATTCCTTTTACAATATTCTTTATGAGTTGCAGTTTAATATGAAGTGGGGGCAGAAACACATTTTGAAGATCCATTAAAGACTGATACTCAATATTTTGTTTCCCTGTTATGTAATTCTCTCTCACTGGCCATTCCTTCTTTTTGAAATGATTTTTATCATCTCAGCTGTCCCAGAGACACAAAAAGCAACAATGTTTGGTATATCCACTCTACATGCCTAGCAGGAGTGCAATAACTTTTAGAGCACCACATATGTTCCACCTATGGTGATTATATTTGAAAGCTTTAAGTATAATCTGCATGCTTTGATAAATTTTTTCACGTTCACATGTTATTTTTTCCATTGTGCAAAAGTACAGCTTTCAGACTAATTTTAGATGAATCGATAAAAAGTCTCCATTCTTTCATTAGTGCATCCACAGTTGTACAGAAATACAAAATATCTTGCATGCTGCAATGAGAAGCAAGACTTTGATGGCGACTTTCGTAAGTTGAAATTCTTGTTCTTGGAACTAATAAATTCCATTGCTGTAAACGAGAGCCAAGACATTCTCCATGCTTCTTTCATAGAGACAATTCACGAATCAGATCATTTAGCTCTTCTTTTGTGATCAAATGAGACAGTTTATGTTGAGGTGCCACAGGAATAGAATGACTAGATGAAGAGGATGAAGATGATTCATTATCTTTTTGCAGTATAACTCTTCTGTTTCCCAACATGCTGGTGTATGTGACACTGAAAGACCACCCCAATGAGGTACTGGTTTCATTGCAGAAGCAATATCTGGATATTTAATGTGATGTTTAGTTTTGCCTGAATATCCAGAAACATTAGTCATACAAAAATAGAAGTCAGTTAGATTATCTTTGGGCTCACGCCATATCACGGGAACTGCAAATGGCATACTTGCTCTCTTCTTATTCCACCACTGTGTCAAGCCAGATGTGCAACACATGTGAAGCCCAATGTTTTTCTTGGTCACCAATTTTACACCCAAAATAATTGTGTGTGATGTTTTTACATCGTGAAATTGTAATATCTTTCCACAAATGTAGCAGAAACTGTTTGGGGGATTTTTTGCACCTTTAGAATTTACTTGAACTGGAGGCAGCCAGCATTTCAAATGTTTTTCTATAAAATAATTTATTTTTACAGAACTATAGTTTAAAAGATTAAAAAAACTTTTACAGAATTTGATGAATGATGCAAGGTATGATGCAAGGAAGAATATTGTATTTTGTTTTGACTGTGCATAGTGCGAGGCGAAGTGATCAACTGAGTGAGAGGCACCTTAGAAAGATGCGTCTGACTTTGCTCTTTTGTGTTCAGTCGAGGGAATTCTCGAATGTTCTAGCACACTGAGCACGTGAGGGTTTTATGATTCCTGGACAGAGAGGCGAGCGTGAGAATGGAGCAAAAGTGGTGCAATTCACTACGATTATATCGAGAACAAATATCATATACGCACAATGTATTTGGAATTTTACACCAATACAATGCAGTCAATGTTTCAAGTTAACAAAAATCTATAGCTTTTACCTATTAAACTGTCCAAGTAAACGTGTTTTCACTGTATAAATCTATTGTACTGAGTTGATTGCATGATAAAATATTGAGATATTGCAATAACTCACAATCTAAAAACGATTAACAAATTCTGACTATGTTTTTGAAATCAGCACCATCAAATTACCACGAATAACTTGAGTTTTTTCCTGTAGCAAATATTTTTTTTTGTCCAGTGTAATTGAAACATTAAACGTTAAACTAAATCACCGAATAATCTGAAAGTAGTGCAGAATCTGTTCGCAGTTACTTTAAAATGTCTACATCGATGTTTGGTGGCTTTTGGTGACCATGTCGCAAATCAAAAATTGCGCTTATCAATATGTATTCTGTCGCAAAAGTTTTATGACATTCTGTTGATAATTATAAAATTTATAATGTGTCAAATAATTTGTGAATGCTCCTGTTTCTTTAGAATATATTTTCAACCATATGAAAAATACTATTATAAATTATTCTAATGATATATAAAACATACTTATACATATTTTAGTCTATTATACAATTTTATTTTTTTACTTATATTTACATTTAGCAAACAATGGACAAGCGACTATAGTGGTTCGTGTTGGAAACAATCGTCCTGATTTGAGTGTCAACCCGATCTGTAGCAAGTTTACTGGCACTTTAAGTATGTGTATTTCTAAGTTTATACGAATTTGACTAAAGGGAATAGTTAGGTACCACAATGAGAAATATACTACAACCTAGCACCAAATATTTAATACAGTGACTTACGTTATATTCTAATTAAACTAATATTTCCCTAAACTTGAATTATATATGCGTCAGCTAGTGGTTGCCTTTAGAACTGAAGAACTTTTATGAAATATTCTACTCCGCTCAAATAAACATATTATGTAATTTTTATGAAAGAACTTTCGCAAAATGTGATATTTATCTACCTCTTTAAATGCTTTAATTCTAAAGAACGCTAAACTATTTTAAATAATTATAACTGGGAATAAAAACGTTGCTTCATACAATTATTATTATTTTTGTGCGTAAAGTCTTAGTCTTTGTGTGTTTAAAATATTTATCATTCAAAGATCATATGTTCTGAAAAAAATATTGAAACACACATTTCAAGTATATAACATAAGGATATCTAAAATTAAATATATTCCCACCATAGAAAATGTTCTTGTAACTTTATGCAAGCGTGTATTGTTATTCCGTTTTTCCTAAATGGGGTTTATCATTCTACGTTATATCTGGGGCTGTGGGTGTATATAAGATTAATAATGTATGTGTTATTTTTATTTCATATTCACTCTATAATATTTGGGACTTACAGAAACTGTAGATCATATATATATGTGCTTTCATTTTATATTACAGTTTAATTGCGAACTGATACCACTTACTATATTTCTATTTTTCCAAAAATATGATTATTTATTATAATGATAATCAATTTTTGCCTGTTCTGAAAATACGCGCGCACTTCAACATATGTAAACAAAAGGGGATGTAAATATGCTTTAATGGACATTTTGTACATATTGAAGACTTATCAAAGTTTTTAAAAGGTCTAACGTTAGGTCGTAGAATAACAACATTGATAGTTTTAAGTACTGTACAGTTTAGCTCTAACTAAACTAAAGCAAAAACTTATAAAGTTACAATTGTTACGTATCTGCTTGTTTGATAATTTCTCGTAAAAATTATTTCTGAGAAACTTCAGCGATACAAGTCCTTTCTTAATCAAAACAGTCACTTTAACTTCATTACTTTTAAAAACACACGCTATAATTCACAGCGATTCACACACTTTACTTACGCTTGACTCAATTATCTCTATCTTCCATCTATTTGCCTTTATATACTAAAAAAGAGGGCGTCTAGCAAATACTGGGATATTCGTTGTGTGACTTCCGCTGTCGTAACACTGCCCCTTCCTTAGTATTGTTCGTCCTGAACAATAGCCAA